AGATTATGAAATAATGTGTATTTTTCAAGATTAGACTTGATTTTTAAAAATTACCTTGGACATTAAACAGATTTAGTTTTTACTCCAAACATACATTTTGTGGCAGGGGCCCAGGCGGCTGCCCACGCCAGGCCCAGCAGCAGCACCTCTATGAAGGGTGCACTGAGGGGCCAGGGGAGATTTCACATGAAAACAGATTTTTCTGCTACTAAGAAAAGTTGGAAACAATTAGGGTAGTTGTTTATGACACGCATCACATTTGGAAGTCCAGAGCAGTGATCAGTACGCTGTTTGGTTTCTTGGGTTTGGTGTCTGTCCCTGGACAGAGGTGCCACATCACGACTCCCATAATGCTTTACTTTGCTGCAATCTGCAGGTCTGTCTGTAGTCAGAAAAATATTCACACACACACTAAATCTTTTTTCCGAAGCACAAGGGAAGTGCCAGTCTTTTTGATTCTGTCAGTAAAAAGCAGGCCAACACATGTAATATTTGTCTTACATGCTTGCTGGGACCGTTTAAGAATTTGAGAAAAACAAAGTTAATTTTACCAAGAGAGCTTCTGCTTTTGTCCCTCTGATCCCTGTGTACGTGGGAGCCTTGTGACTGGGCTCACAGAGCCACATGGTGGATAAAATGCATCACTGCACCGTTCTTCTCAGTCAGCAACGGGAGACTTGCTCCAGGTTGCTGAGACAAGGGCGCTGGTGACTCGGTGGGCTCTGAGCCCAACATGTGTCCTCCCCACTTCATTACAGAGGTACAGAGGGTGCTGGTGGTCCTGGGGCCTCTGCGGGACACGTTGATCGTTCTAGGGACAGCGAGCAACGTGGAGCAGGCTGCTATTCATGGCTGCAGGGGGTAACTCAGGTGCAGAGTGGCCTGGCCAGGGTGACTAACTGTTCTCAGGACACTGTCTTGTGCAATTCGAGCTCATCCTTCCTTCAGCACCAACAGGTGACAAATCGCACAGTGGTTGTGGAGCTTTTCCCAGCAGCACCTCCTGTCCTTAACTTGCCCTCTCACGTGTCACTCAGGGAATCCACTCCCTGCATGTGGCATCCTTGGAAAGGTGGGGTCTGCCCTCCACACCAGGTGTTTCCTTTCTGTTTTCAGAGCAACGCCCTGACCTTGCTCTGCCTGTCTCAAGGACAAAAGTGCCACACTTGACTGTGTTCCCTTAGTATATGCTGAAGTGCACCTTGACTCACGTGGGAATGAGAGGGACATTTTGCTTACCATTTGGGCAATACAGTAAGTAAATAGTGGCCTAATGTAAGTAAAGAACAACCTTTTCACTCATTTTGAATGTGTCGGTTTTCAAATCTCCCCAAGTTTAGTGGTTCCTGTGTGTGGGGACAGCAGCCCCACCAAAGTACCCTCTGATGCCAAGTATCACCCTGACTGAGAACATCTGCCTCTTTAGCTCAGTTTTCTCCATAGATTTATCAGACTTGCTTTAATCCTTACTTTTAAGACTGCCAATAGGAGAAAATTAATTACTGTTTATCGCCCTCTAGTGACTAATGAGTGCAAGTATGCAACTGTATCAAAACCCTCTTGTCTTGTTCTGCACATCAGAGTAATGCAGACTTGTACTGAAGTACAGAACTCATCTGGGCGTCTCTTCTGAAGGTCAGATGCGTTTATCCAAGTGCCCAACCTGCAAGTTCAAGGGCCTCATGTGCCACCTCCAACATTCATCACCCTGTGAGCCTGTCCACAGGTACCGCCCCCATCTTCCTCTCCTGCTACCGGATCAAGCCCTGATTCCTGATGTCTTCTTTGAGTCCTCCCTGCCTCTCTTGTCCTCTAACCTATGCCTGTGTTCCCAATTTGAAGATAAACTGACTAGAAGCTGGGCTCTTGTCAACAGCACTGTTTCTATTTTGTTGATCCAAGATGCCGTCACCTCTCACTGAATTCTGGCCGCAGCCTGCTGCTGGGCTTTCTCTTCCAGCCTTATGCACCATAAGGCTATGGCCACGTGGCTTTCCAGTGATCCATCTAAAACTAAGTGCATCAGTGAGTGTCTCCTCTCTCAAGGCTTTCCAAGGTATCTTCCTCTCACTCAAAATAAAAGCTAATGTCCTTTCAATCAATGTGGAAAGAGGGAGAGAGAGCCAGGCCTGCAAGCCTGAGAGATCCCTGCTGAGTAAATGAGTGCTTCCTTTCTAATAGTCTTGCTTCTGAGCAGAACAAAAATGAAGACAGTGTTTGTGAAATTGTAGGAAGGGTGGGCTGAGTGGCTTTGGGCACTGGGAGCAACCCTGAGCAGTCCTGCAGAGCTGGGGGCCGGGACTTACAACAGGCTGCAGACTCCAGCCATCCAAGAAGGTAGTTGGGCATCTGGAGGCCGCCACTGACATTGAGGAGGTCAAAACTCACTGGTCTGTTTGACCTCCAAAGGCATAATACTGAAATTTGGACACTGTAGCACTGAGGCTGGTCTCTTCCACCTCACCCGCAAAGCTCCTGGTGAGACCTTGACCATGATGGCCGGGAAGGAGGATGCAGCTGACTTCCTTTCTGCCCACCCCATCTCATGTACATGTGTGTCTGATTGACGTGGCTGGATGGTCACTCTGAAGTCCTACTGTAAGACAGACCAGAAAGTGTAGCTTTGGCTGTTCCAGCCTCTTTAGTACAGAAAGGTGTTGCTGTGGTCTGAATGTTTCTGTCCATTCCAGATTCACATTTTTAAATCTCTTCTTCAATATGAGGGTATTGGAGGTGTGCCCTTTAGGAGGTAATTAAGTTATGAGGGTGGAGCCCTCATAAAACAGAGCCCCGAGAAGCCCTCATCCCTTCAACCACATGAGGACACAGTGACAAGACGGCCACCCCTGAACCAGGAAGCAGGCTGTCACTACACATTACTGGTACCTTCGTCTTGGATTCCTCAGCCTCCAGAACCGTGAGAAGTAGATTTCTCTTGTTGGTGAGTTTCCTGGCATGTGGTATTTTGTTACAGTAGCCCAAACAGACTAAGATAGCCATGCTGTGGGACTTTGGGGACGTGCACCAACCTGGGGTAGGGGTCAGCGTCTAGGGCACAGGCTTCAATAAACTCTCAGCTACATGTGCACTTCACCCAGTGCAGAGCTGTGCTTATGCTGAAGGATGTCTAACTTCACCTGAAGCTTTATAGCTTCAAGTCTGAGCTCGCTGAGCCTGGCCTGGTGCAGTGCCCTAGTTCCTGTGGCATCTCTTCAGCATGCATGCCTTTACAGAACTGAGCCTGCAGAGTACCTCCAGCCTTCCCGGTGTCTGCAGGACTGAAGAGGACCTGAGGAGCCCTCTGGCCTTTTCCTGCTTAATGTAGTGCCAGCAGCCTGGCTGTGCTGTGCCAGGTCGATCTCTAGTATTTGGTTAACCGGCAACTGTGCCATCTCTGGGGCCATGGCCACATGGACATCACCCTGACCTGACATCTCGTGTGCCCCTTCCTGATGAGACTCCAGAATATTCTAGATTTAGTATTCTCCTGTCTACAGTAAATATCTTTAATACCAGCCTCCTGAAAAATGAGAGAATAAATGCCACGCCCCATTTTTCTAGCTGCTTGGTGAATTGTGCTGTCTGTGGTTTCTGCGGTGAAGAGTGACCCCTGAAGCCCAGTGGTGGATAGTGCTGTCTGAATAGGGGCACCCCCTCCTGTGCTTATTTCCTGCGGTCTCCATCACAGTACAAGACAGCCAGCCCCCTCCCTGGGTACAGAAACTGCTCGTCAGCAGAGGCCGGGGTATGTTGAAAAGCTGTGCTGAGCCAGCTCTGGGAAGCAGCAGCCAATCCTGAGACTCATCTCCAACAGGCAGGTGAAAGCTCTTTTTGAAGCTTTCATGTGTGGCAGGCAGCTGTGTTAACTGAGTGACATCCTCATCCCCCAGCAAACTGACCAAATAGTCTCCGCTCAGGGCTCCCAGATCTCCCCTCACCCCTCCCCTCACCCAGTGTGGCAGCCCCTACCTCCTGCCTGCACCACCAGCTGACCTGTGCATGGAGAACGTCCTCCCGCCAGCTCTTTGGACTCACTCTTTTTTCCCTTTCCTCCTTTTTCTAGATGTCTTTCCTGTTGCCTCTGCTTCTTCCTGTTGGCTCCCTGTGCTCAGGGAACTGTCTGCTGGCTGCTGTTTACCCGCAGCCCTCCTGCTCCCCGGGCCCCCGTGTGGGCAGATGCCCTTGTGATGGCAGCAGATGATAGTAACTGAACTCTGCTAGGTCCAATGTGCAATTTTCTGGGCTGACATTTCTCTCCACGTGCAAGAGTGAAATGGGTGGGGGTGGGCGGGGCTCCTGGGGATACTTCATGTTTCATTTGCTTCAAGTGCTGTTTGCACTTGGAAGGTGTGTACAAAAACATTGACACATGCTGGTCTTAATTTTTACCAGAGAATTAAGAGTCAATGTTGTTCTGTCTGATAGTCAATAATCTTTAATGTATTAATGTCATGGAAGGAGAGGCAATTGGACATCATGGGTTGGTGGATGAAAACGCAGGAAACCATTCATATATATTTACCAAAAAAATTCTGAATCAGATTAGGACTCGGATTCAATAACCCAGTCATGGGAAGCATAGGGCCAGTGGATGTGGGTTATCAGCAATGTGCAGTCTGGCAGAAACTGCAGGAGAAATGGCCCCATTCTCTTTACAGATCCATTTCCAGGAATACAACAGTGATGGCAGAGAATTTTTTTTTTTCTTTTTTTTGAGACAGCCTCAAGCTGTCCCCCTGGGTAGAGTGCTGTGGCATCACAGCTCACAACAACCTCCAACTCCTGGGCTCAAGTGAGTCTCCTGCTCAGCCTCCCAAGTAGCTGAGACCACAGGTGCCCACCACAACGCCCGGCTACTTTTTGGTTGCAGCCATGATTGTTGTTTGGTGGGCCCAGGCTGGATTTGAACCCGCCACCTTAAGTGTATGTGGCTGGCGCCTTAGCCACTTGAGCCATAGGCGCTGAGCCGAGAAATTTTTAGATTAAAAGAGATCCTGAGAGTGCTTGCTTTGGCAGCACACATACTAAAATGGGAATGGGACACAGAGGATGCTATAGCATGGCCCCTGCTCTCGGATGACACGCAAATTCGTGATGCATTCCATAGTCTTCATCAGACAAACTAATACACACCCACACAAGAGAAAGCTCAGTTCAATTCAGGCTGGGGGGAAAGAGGGAGGAATGGGGCACAACCTAAGGGTATGTGGCACTCCTGCTGGGGTGGGACACAACTACAACAGGGACCTTCACTTTGTTACCGCATATTAATCTGAAATTAAAAATATATATGTAAAATAAGATAAAAGGGAACCCAAAGTGTCATATCAACAAGCCGTCATGTGTAGACTACTCATGTCTGTGGTGGCCAGCCCTGCTTTGGAGAACTGATGAGAAATTTCTCTACAGGTGCCCTGGAGTGGTCTTTTTAGGTGTATGGTATGTGAGAGGCTGTGAGTTAAAATCTTGTCCAGTATGCCGTGGGTGGGCCAAGCTGCCCCCGCCACCCTTCCCTAGACTGTACTGTCCCGTGGGTGGAGCTGAGGGCCAGGCCTGGGAGCTTGGTCACACAGGAGAGGGGACAAGACAAAGTTTGGGAGAGGATGAGTGAGGTAGGAAAGGAACTCAGCCGCCAGGAGGGGAGTTGGGAGTGGGAGGCTTGAGGGGCGGATAAAACACAGCTCCACAGTGAGTTTGAAACTGGGCAGGGGGCAGGGTCGCACTTGGGGGCAGAGGCTTTGAGGGCATAAGTGGGAGGAGGGTCCTTGCGGATGAATCTTGCTTGCCTTGGCTGGGGTGGCCCAGGTTAGGGGTTGAGGGGAGGTCCTACTGCAGCCAGGCCCAGGCCAGGATCACTGCCGAATACTGCCTGCTCTGCAGAGGGTGGGTGGTATCACGCCGACGCAGTGTGGATAGTGCTGCTCAGGGTTGCTGCCGCCCTCCCCGCTGGAAGGCTCCAGGGAGGCTGTTTGCAGGAATGCAGATACCCGGACAGGCACCTTCCACACAGGTAGGAGGAGCGCAGTTCCCCTGGCAACCGCCGAGAACTGCGGCAGGTGAAACGCGCCCTGCAGAGCACTTGGGAGTAAATCTGCAGAAACCAGCCCCATCCAGCGGTCACCTCGGGCAATGCAGGCTCTCGGAAGGAGGACTCGGGCTGTGACCTTTAGGTCCTCCCAGGCAAGAGACGAATCTCACCCTTGCCACCTTGAATCTCACCCTTGCCACCTTCCCGGGGTTAAATCATCTTCCTGACCAACAGCCTTGGCCCGCAGAGCAAAGCCACCTGCCATCTTCAGCTTGAAAAAACTTGAGGGCAACGCTGATTCTGGGGCTCCCCGACTGGAAATAAAAGTTGGTGTATTTTGGACGTGAGGAGAGGCTAAGTGTCTAATGTTTCCCTGGGATCATGAAGCCACAGTAATTGTCTGTTATAGATAAATAACAGACAAATGAATCAATAAACCTAAGTGGTCTTTTTTTTTTTTTAAAGCATTTTATTTTATTTTATTTATTTTTTTTTTGCTGTTTTTGGCCAGGGCTGGGTTTGAACTTGCCACCTCTGGCATATGGGATCAGCGCCTTACCCTTTTCAGCCACAGGCACCACCCAACCTAAGTGGTCTTAACAAAATATTTTGCATTGGGTTATAAGTGAATCAAAAACAAAACAATCAAATCTTTGTCACAGTATGACTAGTTGTCTTAACCTGTCATGACTCTGTAAACATCAACATGCTGTATTTGTTTGGTCAGGGGCATAGATGAATATTTTAATAATTAACTTGCTTACTTTGGTGTCGATCAGGGGAGAATTTCTATGTGCACCCAGCGTTATTTCTCACTTCTTCCCCAGCTGAGCACCAGGCAGGGCCGCCCACACAGCTCCAGTAGCCTCCCAGTTGCCTCACTGCGGGGTGTGACTCTAAGACCTCTCTCCTTTGCTTCTTTACTTATCCGGAGACTACCCGTTTTTGGCTATTGCTTTTCTACCTTTTGTCGCTTTTTACTTTTCTAATTGCCAAACAACATACACATAGCCAATGACCTTTAGGGAATCACTGAGGACCCTGCAGGGGCTTAGAGGAACATCTGGGTCACTACTCTTAAACCACAGTGAATCACCTTTGCAGATCCAACCCATTATAATTGACTATTAAGATGCTTTTTATACAGATACAATTTATCCCTGAATCTCCCTCTCATGTATGAGAGATGTCTTCTCTTGACTAGCTCTTCCTTACAATTCAACCCTTAGGGTGGTGAAGGCTTCTTTGACTGATTGATATAAATTAGGAGAATTCCTCTAGTCTCTCCCAGATTCAATCCTCTGTTTCTGTCCTATGTCCTTTAGCACTTAGCTATGTCCAGAGAGTTAATTTCGCTTAGAAGACCCACCTTTATTCATTCTGTAACCCAATGTCTCATGAATCAAAAATTTCCTATCTTACTCTTTTCCTGTGCATAACAAAATATGCATTGATTATACAGGGTATAACTGGGTAATTCATAAGTAGGGACATTTATCTCTCACAGTTCTGGATGCTGGGATGTCCCAGATCAAGGCACAAGCAGGTTTGGTGTCTGTGAGAGCACCATCTCTCTGCTTGCACGATGGTGCCTTTTTGCTGTATGTTGCAGGGGAACCACTGCTGTGTCCTCATGTGGTGGAAGAGACAGAGGGCAAGGCAGGTCTCTGGGGTCTCTGTTATAAGGGCATAATCCCATTCAGAAGTGCAGGACCCTCTCGTCTTGACCACGTCCCAAAGGGCCCACAGTTTAATGCCATCGTATCAGTGGGTAAGTTTTAATATGTGAATTTTGCAGAGACATATAATGTATCATAATTTATAATCAAACCCTTAACCTTCTTTCAAATGAAATTTCTTTTAAGATCTGAAAAATGGTCACAAGCAATCTCTAAATAATTGATTCTGTATTTTATTTTTTATTATTTTTTGATTTTTAAATTAAATCATAACTGTATACATTAATGCATTTATGGGGTACAAAGTGCGGATTTTATATACAAGTTGGAATGCTTACAACAAACTGGTTAATATTCTGTATTTTAAATAGCTGATGTTTCTTCTGTGTCTCTTTATAGGTGCCTTTTCATCCATGCCTCTATAACTTATACCGACGTCCCCCATAGAAAGGAATTCTATGGCATGTTCTTTTCTACAGTGTGGTGGACAGTTTTACCTCCTATGAAATGTTCATGTGCCGCCCCACACTTCCCAGCTTACTTGTAGATAGTCTGGGCTATGTGACTAGTTCTAGCTCACTGGATTGTTTTGTTTTCCTTATAATCATCTGCCTCTTTCAATCCTTGTGTTATATGCCCCTATTGCCTATTCAAAAATACTGAATAAGTAATAAAAGACATTAATATTTCATTGAGGAATGGAACAACCCAGAACCCCTGGGGCATCCTGAGTTATATAGGAAACCATTAGAATAAAATTATGTTTTGTCTTACTTACTTTTGCTTCTTGGAATATATGTTTCCTTATATACTTTGAATTGTTTTCTATCTCTTATGAAGAATGAAATATTTTTTAACTTAAAAAATTTAAGCATATAGCATAGAACGTAACATTTATGATGGAGCATTTTAATGAGTCATCTTGACTACGCCACAAGGTGCCCAGATATTTGGTCAAATATGTTTCTCTGGCTCGGCGCCCATAGCTCAACTGGCTAAGGCGCCAGCCACGTACACCTAAGGTGGCGGGTTCGAATCCCCAGCCCGGACCTGCCAAACAACAATGACGGCTGCAACCAAAAATAGCCGGGCGTTGTGGCGGGCGCCTGTGGTCTCAGCTACTTGGGAGGCGGAGGCAAGAGACTCGCTTGAGCCCAGGAGTTGGAGGTTGCTGTGAGCTGTAATGCCATGGCACTCTACCCAGGGGGACAGCTTGAGGCTCTGTCTCAAAAAAAAAAAAGAAAATATGTTTCTCTGAGGCTGTTTTTAAATCAGCAGACTGAGTAAAGCAGATTGCTTCCCCAGTGTGGGTGGGCCTTATCAAATCACTTAAAGGCCTGACCTCCACAGAATAAGAGTAAATCATCCTGCCCGATTGCCTCCAGACTGAAATGTTGGCTATTCCTGAAGTCTCAAGTCTGCTGGCCTCTGAACCAGAACTTATAGCACTGGCTTTCCTGGTTTTTAGGTCTTTGTACAAAGACTAGAATGGCACCAGGGGTCTCCATCCTGCTCACTGCAGATCCTGGGACTTGTCAGCTTTCATAATCCTAAAAGTCAATTCCTTATTTTTTATACACATACACACATATATATATACATACATACATATGTATGTGTATATATGTATATATATAATTAATTTCATAATAGCCATCTTAATTGATGTGAGGTGATGGAGGCATCAGATATTTGACTTACAAATAAATTTTCACAGGAATTTTGTGATGAATCTCTTCATTCCACTTAAGCCCCCAATGTCTCAGTTGTCTAATTAATTTTGCCACAAGTATGTCATAAAGTCTTTGGTTTAGGTCTTTAAAGCTGTCATAAATTTATATTGAGCAGGAAACACGTGGAAGTGCTCAGCATGACCACCTCCTGTCACGGAGTGTCACTCCTCTGTGAAGTGACGCTACATTCCTTTGCAGGTTCCAGTCTCTTGAGGGTGGCCAGCCAGCTCGTTGGTCAAATAATCCTAGGGAATGTCGATAATGTGTCTGACACTGCAGTAAAAAGACCCAAGGTCTCTGACTTTGTGGCATTTACTGTCTAGTGGAAGATGGATGTTAACATATATCACCCAGAGAGCAGTGCAGGGTCACTGGGATTTTCCATCTGTTTACAGCCCAGGCTGGCTGAAACGCCAGTCCCACCTACTCCCTGTTGTGGCTGCTGCTTCTTTCTCTCCTTAATCAGATGAGAACATAGTCCTATTACCTTTATTTCTCCTAAATTTCATCACATAAGGCATTTTTGTGACTGTGCTAATGGTTTGTGCAATTAGAAAGGGAGGTTCCATCCAGCAACAGTTGACAATGAACTTGACCTTCCATGTTCTCCTCCCACCACTGCTGCTGGGAATCTCTGGCAGGCTGACTTCTGCGGCCTCCATTTCTCTCCA